TTAAATTATAATTAATGCAAGATAATGCATGTGGGTTATTATAATTTGAATTATAAGTATAATTTGGAAGTGAATAACCTTAACAATGTCATGTAAGAAAGAGATCTTGGTGTAATAGTTGATCGGTCTCTAAAGCCATCTAAGCAGTGTGCTGTTGTTAGTGGTAGGGCAAATAGGATTTTAGGTTGTATCTACATAAATATTGAATACAACTCTAAATAGGTTATAATTTCCTTGCGTAGGTCACTAGTTAGGAATATTAACAGTGAGAATAGTAGGACTAGGAAACACAAGTATAAATTTTGGCAGGGTAAGAGTCATCTTCAGCTAAGACAGTTTTGTTAGAACAATAATCTTGCTCCTCATCTTCGTATAATGTAATAAACCGTACTTGGATAATTCAGATAAATCATTGTTTAATAACTACATTACAATAGTGTTATTGTTAGAAAAATAATCTTGCTCCACAGCTTCGTTTAAGTAATAAATCTTACTTGGACAATTCAGATAAATCACTATTTAATAACTACATTACTTGTTTGATACGATTTCTATGTTATGAAAATTGCTTTAAGAAACTGAATAGTATGTAGTACACTCCTTATAATGGAAGATATGCCTCCTGTACTGTTATTACTGTACTATATATGCAATACCAATATACTTGAAAAGTAAATATATGATCATATCCAAGGAAGGCGACAAACACGTTTAGATAAAGATTAGGAAATCCCTGATTCTCAAAGACCCTCGAAAAAAAGGCGTAAGCCTAAACGCCGGGTACAATAAAAAAATTTAACTGAAGTTGTTTGTCGTCTTCCTTCAATATGCTTTCCATTCTTCAGTCAGCACTGAAAACATTAATTAATAATATAAATATAGGATCACTCAGGTGAATAAATCATTTCCCAAAAGTAGATCCACATTTTTTTTTTTACCAAATTCATATGTTGTATTATTGTGTTGTATAATGTAACTGTGAAAGAGGTAAATGCTACGGCTGGCATGAACAACTGGCTTTTTATGTCTTATAGCTAAGAAGAATCTTACCTGCTCTCCGGGTATTCATACACAGCTTCTCCGTTCTTGGTCCAAGTCAGAGCAAGTGGATCGTCTCCATAGCTACTGCACGAAAGACTAACCTCTCTGGACTTCTTTACTTCTATAAGTTCACCACCTCCTTCGATCCTCGGAGGAACTGATATCCAAACCCCCCCAAATAATGTCAAATCAATAAATCAACCAAAAGTAAATAATGAGGAGATATAAAGACAATTTGGAGAACTCAAACCTTAACTTAAACAGTGGACTTTCCTGTTACTTTGGATTTTTGAAGAGTGTTAAACTTTTTAACAGAAAGTTACACTGTTGACAATTAGATAAAATTTTTATACGACTTATAAACATAATATCTGTAATCGTTTCATCATAATATTAATGAATACTGAAAATAAAGGAAGGTTTCAGTCAGATATTTGAAATTATTTCAGTAACTTCACTTTGACGTTAGAAGTAGGGTATACATTATTTTTAACTTACTTCTCTATACGTTTACTGTATTCTATCTTTGAAAGGTTAACTAACCCTAATGGTCCCTTTTAACATGTAGAAACTAATTTAAATATTAGATGTTTTTTTTGGTTAGGTTGTTGTTAAGCGCAAAGCTATATAATGGGATATTAGTGCTTTTCCCACCACGGCTATCGAAACCAAATTTGTAGCGTCGTAAGCATGCAGGCTTATTGCTAAGCTACTGGGGGGGGGGGGTAAAATCATAACAAATATTTATATATATTGAAACGCAGATATCCATGAAACATATTTCATTATATATATCTTTTTTTTTCTATTTTCAGATACCTGATTGAAACTACAACCATAAACTAAAATCCACTTAAAGATGAACATTTAAATAACGGATTCGTTGCTGTATTTGTAGAATAACCTACTGGTGTTACCTAAACAGTGTAAAGTTTTTACGCTATTGTTCAGCGGTAAGTCAGTAGAATTATAGCGCTAAATATCGGGCTTCGATATCCGCGATGGGCAGAGCACAGACAGCCCATTGTATTGTTTTATGCTTTACAAGAAACAAACAATGTATAGGTGTTTCTAAGTTTATCGAGAGCAACAAGTTGCCTAATATCGCTACAGGGAAATGGTTCTGATCTGGTAAATATTGAAATTTAGTTTTGATCTGAGTCGATTTTTGTAAACAATGAATCTTAAATAGCATCAATCAGCATCTGGAATGTTGCTCATACACACACGTTCGTGCACGTTTATAAAATGTGTACTATTCCATGTTCACGTGAAATTGGTATCTTTGCAGAGTAGAATTAAACTGATTTTACAACTAAGACGTTTTAGTTTATGTTTACTACCTACCATGAACTTGGAGTTGAACAGTTTCCGTTAGCGGTGATCCCACACCATTGTCAGCCTCGCACAAGTAGTAGCCAGAGTCTGACGACAAAACTCCTGTTATGCTCAGAGAACCGTTCTCCAGTACGTGTTTGTGTGGGCCGCTAATAACATTCTCATAATCTGGAGAGTTTTCCTCTGAAAATAACAACAACAATAACAACAAAAGAAATTGTACCTGTCAACTTGTTTCTACTGGACAGAAGATAACTTCCGAAAATGTCTGTAGCGACAAAAAAAGTTTCCTTCAAAGAAATTAAAAAAAAACAATCACCCGATGTATCAACATATGAAAATCTTATTTTCAGCAGAATTAGCAAATATGTTACAAGTTTGTAAGAAAACAAGAAACGAATTCATGGATCAAAAATCTAATATCGATATTCTAAGGTAGAAACTAGAAGAGCATTTAGACGTTTTAACTCCAGACATTAGTGAAATTCCACCTGTCGTGATGATGATTATGAAACCGAGTCGTATTGATAACCACAATATTGCCCAAAATACCTCGTTACTATATTTAGTTTATTCGTTATTATTTTTTAATTATTAGACACATTCGCTATATTTTGTTTTCACGAAATCATTGTCTTAATCTAACTAAACAAACCGTTCTAGTTTCGCCCGACATATATTTTGTCAACACAATACACCTTTGAGAAATGTATTGATAAACTAACTACATGCAAGTTTGATTACGAGTTTGAGGATCAGTCTATACGTACCTGATCAAGTTTTGGTGGAAGTCAGAGTTAAAGGCAAGCTTCATAGTTTAGTAGTTGAAACAGAAAGTCGCAGCAAGATACAACAAAATCTAAACCCGTGGTTTGAGGTTATGATGAATAATTACAGTATCTCAGGATAGAAGAGGGTTTAGGTTTATTAACGCTTTTCTTAATTACAATATCTTAGAAGAAGAAAGAGGTTGTAGCTATTAAAGTTTCTCTTTGTTTTTTTTTGTTTGTTTAAATATACCATAAAGAGAGGCGGGGTTTGTATCTACTGAGGTTCTTTGGGTTTGTTCAGGAGAAGAGAATATTTGCGTCGACTGACGTTATTGCTTATTCTACACCATGATTAAAATATATCATGCGAGAGGAATTGGGGTTTGCATCTATCGACAGTCTCCTCTACTTGTGTCAAAGGAAGAGTTATTTTATGTCTACAAGGACTCGCTGTTTATCCTATGTCATAAGAAGAGGGTTCTGTGTCTATTGAGATTCCTCTCTGCTTACCCTATGCCATAAGAAGAGGTATTTTGTGCTAACTGAGATTCCTCGCTGCTTAACCTATGTCGAAATGTATTCAGTTGGAAGTTAACAGAAGCATTATGGACATTAATAGTTGGGCATATTGTCTTAATCGCAAGATGTTCTTTGATATGCGAGCTTATATTAAAACCGAAGAAAGAAGGTAAACACGTCCTCTTTTAACAGGAATAACATATGCATTTTTCACGTACGTAGGATTCGCGAGTTTTTGTACGAGCAGATGTCGAATGTTCACTAATTATTTAACGTAAACGTCTCGTAGTGGAGTCGATGTAGCCTTTTGAGCACATAGGACAGGTGTATGGGTAAACAGTTAGTGACTTCATTAGTTTGGAAATTTTATCCTTATAAGAAAACGAGATAATAAAATCTAAAAGTACTTCTGCAAACAGTGCTGAGAGTAATACGTGGAAAAGTTATTCTTAGAAGTTGAATAAGTTTATCTTTTTAAAACCTTCACCAAATTAAGGCAGAACTAAACTTATGTTGTGTTTTCTTATGGTGGAAAGAACTAAAGAACTTGGTTTGTATAAAAGCTTATCAAATGTCTTTTTTATGCTCTTATTGATAAAGTGAAGAGGAAAGCCATACGTTTGAAGTACTTGTCTCATTTTAGAGTGTTCTAGCTGAAAAAAGATGAGATCCTAATTAGATTTCTTTTGGTGAATTCAGGAACAAAGCTTTAAAAACTGGTATACAGCTCACTATATGTATTCTCATGAAACAACGTCTAACATTAAAACTGGTTTTATTATGAAGGTATGAGTCCATTAAATAATACTTTGACTTCTTTTTATACAACTGATGAAAAAAGAACAACTTGCGCGTAAATGAATCTTTTACCATTAAGATAACATGCTTAACTAGTAATTTACAAAGTTATTCAACTAAGTTGTTACTGATAACTTACATTCATTTGAACTGTTCATGATCATTTCATATTGGAATCAACATAGGTCATAAGAAAAAGGGTCTATGTTAACCTCGTTACATAACCTATGTCATAAGAATAATTGAATTGCGTCTACTGGGAATCCTCGCCACTTGATCTATTGGCATCATAACAAGAAGAGAACTGAGTCTACTGAGGTTCCTTTCTATTAATATTCAATTTTGTTCTTCTCTTTGTACAATAAATAACCAATAAAGGTGTTTGCATCTATTCATAATACCCTTCTTTTAACATTTGTTTTTTAAATTGACCATTTTCTAATGAAAAATAGAATAATAATAATAAGTAGATTGTCAAAATGCTTGTACAAATATTATAAAAAATTGCTTTGTTTCAGATATCAGAATAGAGAAAGTAGAATGGATTGGGAAGTATGTGTCATTTGCTTGAAAGGTGGTGGAGATCATAGATGCCCTGCAGATTCTCACAAAACATGGATTTGAAGTGTACATAAGCTTTTTTCAGATTGTGAAACAGTTTAAGGAAGTGGATACATTGCCTTTTGAGGTAGAATTTGAGAGAAATGGTACAGCATGATTATTTTAAGAAAATAAAGCGAAATGGCAGAAGTTTTGCCATCTCAAATTTGCATCTTCTAAGTTGCAAAGAACCAGGGAAAATTTAGAAAAGAAGTGGAAGAAAGAGGCTTATGATGAAATGCTAAACCCATATGCTCTAGAAAGTGTAGATGCAAATATACAGGATTCTCATGTACAGCTTTTTGCCACTATAGTGGCATGTGCAACCAGGGGTAGTAGACATCGTTGTTGAAATGTAATAACTCTTTGAAGCATTTAAGGAGCATGAGACTTTGAAGGCACTTTAAATATGCCACATATATTTTTATGTATCAAGCCATTAAATTTTCTTTGACCTTGAAATAACTTTAAGTTAGCAACAGCTAGACTGGTCATTGTGATATATAGCATTCTTGGACCAATTAAAACCTACTTCCACAAGGAAGCTTTTTAAACATAATCTCAGTACTTTTCTTTAGCCGAAATTAATTTTTTAGGCAATATTAAAATATATAACTTAACATAATATTTTCAGACAACAAGAGACCCATTGGTCCATCTCGGCTGTTCCATCCTCTAAACTAAACTAAAACTATTAAACGAAAAAAGTTTAATAAATCTTAGAGCCAGCCCTTATTATTGATGTATTTATCAAGCTTTCTCTTAAAGTCACTCAAATTTAATGCTTCCACAACATCTGAAGGCAACCCATTCCAAAGGCCAACCGCCCTGTTAGAAAAATAATAACACTATTGTAATGTAGTTATTAAACAATGATTTGTCTGAAGTACAGTTTATTACGTTATACGAAGATGAGGAGCAAGATTATTGTTCTAACCAAATCACTAAATATTTTCACAAAAATAAATATATTTAAATTTTGGAAAATGTATTTAAAATCTTCATACATCAGTAAGGTTTCTCAGATAATCCTGTTATAAAGACGGGTTTCGTTACAGAACATTAATAGTACTTTAAGAATAGCTTGTGAGCTGTTAGTAGACCATTATCAGCCATGGCGATATCATTTGATTAAGTCCTAAAGGTCCCCCAGCGGGAAGAGTTTTGCACTAAAACTCATTATATGCGTGCGTGTTGCAAGACTTTAAAATAATCTTCCGATATAACATTTTACTCTATAATCAATAAGAGCACAGCATTAATGTAACTTTCATTAGCGAATATTTTATTTGACACAGTATTCCTATGACGAATCATCTTAGCTCATTTAAGAAACTTTCCAAAGTTACCTAACAAAATGACTACATGTCTCGACCCTCCCCCCCAATCAGTTTGCGATATGAATAATTAGAAATGCGTCTATATCCGAGCGGTACGCAGTGAGAGGTTTGTGAAACATGTCCCCCCCCCCCCGAAATGTATCAATGGAAATATAAGGAT